AGGGTCTTGCTGCACAGCTCAAACTCATAGTGAGCCTCCTGTCTCAGCCTCCCCTGCACTGGGATTGCAGGCGTGCACCACCACACCCAGTTTTGGTGGCCAGCTTGGGGCTGGGCCGGCACAGCATGTGGTACCAGGGATTAAACCCAGTCCTTGCACTTGCCAGGCAGGCACTTAGACTGCCGAACTCTCGCCCTGGCCCCTCATTTCCTTTAAAAAGGTGATCATTCTAATATTACCTAACCTATTCCTAAGGCAGGAGCAGGAGTAGAATTACCATCAGCAATCTAAAATGACCCGACACACCTCCAGCACAACCACCCATTCCAAAGGTGCTCCTGGGCAAGAGCTGGGTCTGAGAAGCAGAGAATCAGCAGTTCCTAGAGCTTCTCACCCTTCCCTCCCGAAGACAAGATTAAAAGCAGTGGATTGATGATGCGAACAGTACTCGACTGCGCTTTTGCAAGTACACGGGTGAGCTTCCCAGCAACTTACCAGATGGAGGCTGGAAAGGCTAGCACAGCAAGCTCTCCCCAGAACGTGGCTCAGCTGCAACTAATGGAGCATGGAACGGACAGAAGGACAGACAGAGACCAGCCGGAGAGAGCAAGCAGCCCCAGAGGAGGCCGCACGCTTGCAGCCGGCTGATTTTCAACAAAGCAACAAAAGCACGTGAGGAGAGAAAACAGGCTTTTCAATAAATACACTGGGAAAGCTGGATATTCCACTGTGCAGGAGAATGAAACTAGACTCCGGTCCCACATCACACATGAAGATCGGCTTAAGTGCACCGCTGCTTCAAGTGAAGGACCGCAAACTAGGAAGCTACTTGAGGAAAGCAGGAAAAGCTCTGGGACACTGGTCTGGCCAATGACCCTTTCTTTATTGAACCCCAAAGCACAGGCAACAAAACCAAAAATAGACAATATTACATTAAACTGAAAATCTGCTGGCAAACAAGGGACACAATGAGTGAAGAGACAGTGCAGAACGGGAGAGAAGCGCCTGCCGTGCACACATCTGATGAGGGACAACGCAAAGGTACGTGAGGCCCCACCCAGGCCGCGCACACGCTACGAGAGACGGCCGCGTGTGGCACATTAGGAGAGCCTGCTGAGAGGGACCGTGGCCACAGCAGGCTGCAGTGCCTTGGGGGCCCGGGCAGCTGGCTCTCAGCGTGGAGGTGACTGGCCAGCAGCGCAGGTCGGCTTCCTCGGTGTGGTGGGGAATGCACACGAGAAACGCTTGGGGCGCACAGCAGACTGACTCAGCACGCAGCGCCCTCATTTACTGCTCCTACAAAACCATCTTCAGAGGAATGGAATGTACTTAGGAGAAGCCAAGCGAACTAGGGAGAGGAGGAGTGTCGAGTTACCTGGGATTTGGCTAAGCACACAGAGTTTTTCAGTAGCAAAGGAACTGCAATTTGTTTTTCTTCAAATGGTGTACTTAGGAAAATCAGCAAAATTATGCAGTTTTATTTTTCTTTCCCGATCTTTTTTTTTTTTTAATTTTAGGGAAGGGTCTACAGGGTGTTCAGGGTCTTACTACTAGATCAGACTCGTAGTGATCTGCCTGTTTACAGCCTCCCAAGAGCTGGGATTACAGG